TAGCCATCTATTGCTGAGACAACCCCCAGTTTAGCCATCTATTGCTGATTCAACCTCCAGTTTAGCCATCTATTGCTCAGTCAACGCCCAGTTTATCCATCTATTGCCGAGTCAACCTCCAGTTTAGCCATCTATTGCTGGGACAACCCCCAGTTTAGCCATCTATTGCTAAGTCAACTTCCAGTTTAGCCATCTATTGCTGAGACAACCCCCGGTTTAGCCATCTATTGCTGAGTCAACGCCCAGTTTATCCATCTATTGCCGAGTAACCTCCAGTTTAGCCATCTATTACTGAGACAATTTCCAGTTTATCCATCTATCGGTGAGTCAACCTCCAGTTTAGCCATCTATTGCTGAGTCAACCTCCAGTTTATCCATCTATTGCTGAGTCAACCTCCAGTTTAGCCATCTATTGCTGAGACAACCTCGAGTTTAGCCATCTATTGCTGATTCAACCTCCAGTTTAGCCATCTATTGCTGAGTCAACCTCCAGTTCACTCATCTATTGCTGAGTCGACCTCCAGTTTAGCCATATATTGCTGAGTTAATCCCCAGTTTAGCCATATATTGCAGAGTCAACCTCCAGTTTAGCCATCTATTGCTGAGTCAACCTCCAGTCTAGCCATCCATTGCTGAGTCAACCTCCAGTTTAGCCATCTATTGCTAAGTCAACTTCCAGTTTAGCCATCTATTGCTGAGACAACCCCCAGTTTAGCCATCTATTGCTGATTCAACCTCCAGTTTAGCCATCTATTGCTGAGTCAACCTCCAGTTTACCCATCTATTGCTGAGTTAACCTCCAGTCTAGCCATCCATTGCTGAGTCAACCTCCAGTTTATCCATCTATTGCTAAGTCAACTTCCAGTTTAGCCATCTATTGCTGAGACAACCCCAGTTTAGCCATCTATTGCTGATTCAACCTCCAGTTTAGCCACCTATTGCTGAGTCAACCTCCAGTTTACCCATCTATTGCTGAGTCGACCTCCAGTTTAGCCATATATTGCTGAGTTAATCTCCAGTTTAGCCATATATTGCAGTGTCAGCCTTCACTTTAGCCATCCATTGCAGTGTCGACCCCCAATTTAGCCATATATTGCTGAGTTAATCTCCAGTTTAGCCATATATTGCAGTGTCAGCCTTCACTTTAGCCATCTATTGCTGAGTCGACCCCCAATTTAGCCATCGATTGCTGAGTCAACCTCCAGTTTAGCCATCTATTGCAGTGTCAGCCTTCAGTTTAGCCATCTATTGCTGAGTCGACCCCCAATTTAGCCATCTATTGCTGAGTCAACCTCCAGTTTAGCCATCTATTGCTGAGACAACCTCCAGTTCAGCCATCTATTGCAGATTCGACCCCAATTTAGCCATCTATTGCAAAGTAAACCTACAATTTAGACATATATTGCCAAGTAAACCTGCAGTATAGCTATCTATGTCTCAGCAAATCTCCAGATTATCCATCGCTCAGTTACCATCCAGTCTAGACACCTTTAGCCGAGACAAACTACATGATAACAGTTACCATTGCTCAGTAAACCCTTTGCTTTCAATTCTCAGTTAACCTTAAATTTAGTTATCCATTGATCAGTCAAATTCCTGTTTAGCCATTCATTGAGTCACCTCCCAGACCAGTTAACCACCACACAACCACCACCCAGATTAGCCTACCAACACAGCCACAATTCAAACATGTCAACTACCACAGAGTCACCTCTTGGATTGTCTAGATCATCCAGACTAACCATCCACCACACAGCCACCATCCAGACTAGCCAACCACCATACAGCCAACATCCAGACTAGCCAACCACCACACAAACTAGTCAACCACCACACGGACTAGCCAACCACCACACAGACTAGCCAACCACCACACAAACTAGTCAACCACCACACAAACTAGTCAACCACCACACGGACTAGCCAACCACCACACAGACTAGCCAACCACCACACAGTTACCATCCAGACTAGCCTACCAACACAGCTACAATCTAAACTTGTCAACTACCACAGAATCACCTCTTAGACTGTCTAGATCACCCAGACTAGCCAACCACCATACAACCACCATCCAGACTAGTCAACAACCACACAACCAACATCCAGACTAGTA